ATAAGTTAATTAATTCAACTAATATTTCCAGAGAATGGTTTATCTCATTTGGAAGAGCAAAATTCAATCCTCTCTCCAATAAAAGTGCTACACTATCCTTCAGAGTTGTACCAGATAAATTGATTACCTTATCCTTCTCCACCTTTTTATGAACATGATTAGTAAGATTTGTCTTGGCGGTAAAATTTCTCGACTTTACTATAATTCCTAAATGGCGGAGCTTCTTAGCTGGCCTCAGACGAGTAGTTTTGTCAATCGCCTTTGCTAACCCGTCAGCCATGTCTTGTAACTTCATGAAATCCGCATCATTCAATAGTTCAGAGAGAGATTGTCTCTTGTTCGTTTTCCTTCTGATTAATGTGTGCAGTTTGGTCATGCTTTTCTTGACAGACGGAAAGTGAAACAGACAGACAGACACTTAAGCAACAAGTCAGACATTCAGTCATTCGAATAAAAAGTCATACAGACAGACAGACAGACAGACAGACAGACAGACAGATGGGAAGTGAAACAGACAGTCAGACAGACATTGAAGCAACAATTGAGACATTCAGACATTCAAATAGAAAGTCATACAGAAATACAGAGAGACACATACAGACAGACATACATACATACATACATACATACATACAGACATACAGACATACAGACATACAGACAGACAGACAGACAGACAGATGGAAAGTGAAACAGACAGATGGAAAGTGAAACAGACAGTCAGATAGACAGTCAGACAGACATTGAAGCAACAAGTCAGACATTCAAATACAAATACATACATACATTTCACGCGATCCGCTTGTCAGGCCCGTCGCCCTGGCGAGCCGAACAAGCGTCAAGTGGCCGGCCTGACAACCGCGGGCACACCTTCTCGTTCAAGTGCACCCGCGTGGCCATTCGACCGAGGCCGTGTCGACAACGTGGATGACTCTACGGCGCCGCGGTTGCCACGTCGCAAGGCGCCATGCTACAAAATTGGCTAATTTGACGCAGTCGAAAGTCAGAAATACACGCACACATTAAAACAAAGAGTTGGACAGACAGATGGAGAGTCAAACCAAAGGTCAGACAGGCAAACACTCGTTCATTCCGATAGACAAACGAACATGTCCTAATTTTGTCGTCATGTCTTAGCTCAATAAAGATGTGCGAATTAGCGAAGAAGTGGGGCATAAAAATGGTGTTCAAAGAAACCCTCACAGTTTCTTTTGTTATGCCATCTTTCAGAAAAAAAAATATGACCCATTCTCGAGATCCGGCTGCTACACGATTGTTTGCTCATGTGGTCCATGTTGTGTTGGTGAGACATGCCGACCTATT